TAATTTTTTTATTAATTAGAAAGCAACATATAGTAGCATTAGTAATTGTTCTTCTATTTTCTTTCATTTATATAGTTTTTTGCCCTTTTTCTTCTACTACTACCACCTTTATCAGTTCTATTATATTCCTCCAGATAAAGCAGTGACGCATTGGTGGGACAGAAAAAGCTTGCCGCGTTACGAGTTTTTAAATCATAAGGAAGAAAGTAACTGAATTAACCGAGAAAGTAATTGAAAATAACTGAAAAGAAAAAAAATTGGGGCTAGAAAATATTGCTTTACACTTAATGAGGTAATATTCTTGACTTATCGTTTTACTGCTTCGTTGCTTTTTTGAAGCAAAATCATTTTTCTAAACGTTCTTTTATCATAGTTTATCTTCAGTATCTCTTATTTGGGGTTAACCTTTGGCATTTTAAACGCCAATCTACTTGGAAATTTTATTCCCGTCATCGTTGCTGTTCCCTTACCTTCTTATTACCTCTCTTCTTTTCCTTCTCGCTTTCTATAAATTGCATATTAAAAGTTCTGGTGTCTTCTTAAATTCTCCTCTCTATATTTGCTTTTATATAATACGGATATCATTTTCAGATTTTCGATGAAACTAATGATAGAAACTTCAATGAAGATAAACAACCGGTGGAAGGTAAGCTGAAATGATAGAAATTGTTTGAACAACCAATTTTTATGCTTTTTTCGTCGTTTAGTTTTACTATAACCTGTTTTATTCAGCGCTGTAGCTCTAATAATTCGTTATATAGCACGTTCATCTGCAGTGCTTAGCTTAGCTAGCTGTATTTTTCTGTTGTTTAGTAGGTATAGACAGGAAACAAATAAGTTTAAATTTATTGTTTTAGGTTAAAGGTAAAACGGAAAATCTTTTTAGTTAATTCTAGGAGCACTTTGATTATGCGAAAATAAAACACTTTTCGTTTATTAACGAAAAAAAAAAACTATCAAATTCTCAACTTATTCGACTTTTTTTATCTTTTTAAGCTATAAAAAAAAGTTATTATTAGTTCTATTAAAACTAATTCTTTTACAATAACGGTATTATTAGCTTCAAATAATATGACTCTTCGCACCAAATATATGCAGCGTAGGATTACCTCAGAACATTTTAATAAGAACAGATTCATAGTGAAGATGAAAAAAACTGTTTTATAGGTACTGTAGAGGGGCATACTTTTGTAGAAGATATGTTTCCGTCGTCATCAGCAGATTTTAGCGATACGCACCGAACTATCGCTCAGCAACAAAACACAGAAAATCAGTCATATTCTGGCAATTGTAATCCTGAAGAAAGACCGATGACAGATATAACAACAGCTGGCAGTACTATCAAAGATGACTATAATGCTGACTCTGGCGTAAATGGTCAAAGTCATTTAGCAGAAAACATTGAAGAAGACAAAAGAAGTACCTACAGTGTTCAGCCATCTGAAATAGCAGCTGAGCAGCATATTATTGAAAGCGCAAAAGAAGGCGAGAGTTTACCAAATAGCGATTTCTTATATAAAGGTTCTTCGGCAGCTGAGTCTAAACCTGAAGCTGTCGATGCGTATCAGTGGCACGACTCGACTATTGTACAAGCACCAGAATTGGACTCGACAATTGCAACTGAGCCTGCAATCACGAAAGCTACACCATATAATCCTTTCACACAAGCATGGGACGATGACGTTCGTGCTTTTCCAAGCGAGCAAGCAGCAGTCGATGCTCAACCTCTAGAACCTCAACCAACATTCCAGGATCCATCTCATCAAGGTTATTCGGAGAGCCAAAAACAACCGTACTACAGTAACAATGATTCACAGCAATATTATCCTCCTGTTCCTGATTCGACATCTTCAAATTATGCATACGGTACGGCAGAAGCCCAAGAAGTAAAAGATAATTCATACGACAATTCTTATGGAGGTAGTGATTTTAGTGTGTTGAGCAAGATTCATTTTAGTCACGTAGTCTTTTTTATATCACATTTTGTAAACTAACTTTTTTTTTAAATTTATGAAGCTTTGGTAGGAACGCAGTTTCATTAATTTAGTCGAACGGTTTTATTCAATTGATAATTTATTAGGTTCCAATAATTATTATGGTCAACTATCATCATATAACGACTATAACAGCCAAACTTATGGATCATCTACCGATCACACACAACAACAATTCTCAAATTCTGCAAACGATAATCAAGGTTCAATTTACACTGATGACTCTCAATTGTCAGGTACAGTACCACCTGAACCAGACCCGTACTCGACTGGCTACAGGCCACCAGTGGTTGTAAAACCGCAATTTATGAAACCCTTGCTTCCGGAGTTTAATAGGTATCTCTTCAGAAATTGTATTTTGTTAGGTTACATGTAATAATACAAAATTTGACATTTAAGACCAGCTCCAGTTGATCCGTTTTCTTGGGAAGCGCAAGAGATGCAAGAATCTACCTCTACCAGTCAACAACAGCCTGCTCACCGGCCAGCCCCACCGCTTCCACCATCTCCACCACATCCGCAACAACCACAGTTTGTTGTTTTATGTTTTATAATGTTTTTTCCCTTTCTTTCAATTTTTATAAATGGTGAAAATACATTCAAATTTTGACAGGCATGAACAAGAGGATATTTCAAATGCCGATTTTGCACATTCAGCTGACAAGCAAACGAAAAAACGTATGTTCTTATAATATCAATTACATAAATAATTTCTATGTCTTTTTTCCTTGTTTGACTTACTCTGAGAAGATTTGTTGCCTACTTTATAGAGGTCTGTCGCAAATTTAAATATTAGATGATACAAGCGGTAATTTTTTAGCACCTCCAAGACCAGCCCCACCCTCTGCGACGAATCGAGCTATGCCTCCTGCGAGGCCCAAAGCACCTCCTTCACCACGGCCACCGAGAAAAGAAGCGGAACCAGAAGTTGATGCTTGGACGCAGTTTAAACAATTGAGTGAAAAAGCTAGTGAAGCTGTCAAAGTTACTGAGGATAAACTAAAAGTTTTAAGCGAGACTACGGTTGCTAATGAAGTTAAGGACGAAAGCTATATTGCTCAAATCGGGTAAGGACTCTTTTTCTTGTCATTTTCTCTTTCATCTGATTATTAAATTGCAATCACAAATACTAAAAATGATTGGCACATTTTTAAAAAAAATATAGTGATGACACTGTGTTAAATTATAGTGGCTCTCAAACATTTATACCGGAACTGGCTCAACGACAGATTAAAGCAAAAGAAGAAGAGCTAGCACTGAAAAAGGCTGAAAAAAAAAGTCGCAAAAAGCATCATAAAGCAGCAACGCCAGAAGTTTCACCTTTGGATGAAGCAGAAATGGATAGGGCAGCACAAGAACTGGCAAAGAAAGTAGCTGCTGCTAGAATGGACATGGAAGTAAGAAAGTTTAGCACTTTACTGCAAGACTGAATCTAAAAACGTTTAGCAACTGTAATTGAATGAGCGTAAAGACTGGAAACACTACAACGTATTTCCAGGGATGGAAGCCACCATCAGAACGTGACGCTTCCTTGGAACATCAACTAGATGAAAACAGCTCTGCTGTTCTTAATCCTGCAGATATGTGAGATTCAGTTTGACGTATTTTGTTACGCTTGATGGGCACTCTGTAAGTATTTCTTGTGGTAGACTTATTTTTAAAACTGGCAGTATTTTAGACAAACAAGAGATGCACAACAGGAAGAGAAAGAAACTGAAAAGCAATTTGAAACAACAAATCACACTGAAGAACCAGTTCTTGATCATGTGTAAGTTTTTATTTGAAGACTATTCGGTGAAACGATGTATAATATAAATTGAGATCACGTCATTATTTCTTTAGCAATTTGATCCTGGCTTTCTAAATTATTTTAGCTGCGTGTCAACTTCTAATTTTTTATTATCAGTTTTCTGCAGTACATGATCGCTTTTTTATTCTGAGAATTTATTAGAGAATTGGGTATGAAATATTGTAATTTAGTTGTTGAGCAAATTATGGAAGTACCACAGAAAGACAGTAAAAGAATTCAAAAGGTTAATTATAAGCGTTTAATAGTAAATAGAGACAGATATATGTTTTATGATGAATAAAGTCATATAACCGATAAATCAAAATAGGTAGAAGAATCATGAGATGCAAACGAATAGAGGACCAAATTGATAGGTTGCACAAACCGAATAATTTCTGAGTTTGCTGCCTTATATATATATATATATATATACACGAATCAGTTTAATGTAGTGCTTTTTTCCGCAAATTAATAAACTATGTTGTTCTTACAGAAACCTTGCTTCTTTTTATAGCTGAGAAAGTAGAAAGTTTACAGGATTAAGAAGGCATAAAACGTAAAATATTACTATCAAAAAAGGCTGATAACTTTTAGAAATTATATTAAAAAAGTTCGAGAAAATTTTGCATTTAAAAAAAGTACCTCAAAATTTTTATTTTTTTATTTAAAGACGTTTTTATATTTGACGTTTCGTGTGAGGAGGATAGGCACAATGGTTTTCCAACTTCAAATTGGTATGCGATATCTTAATAAGAAAAATAAGTTTGCACTGCGTTAACTACTACATCGTAGTGTATCTTTTGAATACTTTCTTTTCTTTTGAACACTGCTAACTGGGCGCTTTAAGACGCAAAAATACTAATTTTGTCAAAATAAAATGTGGCAACTGGTAAAATTTCAAGACTAGAAAGTATTACGTGCAAAAAATTTGCGTGAAATACTAAAGAAAGCGTGAGTTTAAAAAAAGTACTAATTTTTAACCAAAAATATTAAAATACCATTTTTTCAAAATCTAGCTTGCTATGAAAAATATTTGGTTTTCTTCCCTTAAATTGTTAAATTACAATTGTGTACTGGTTATGATCCTTGTTGAAAGAATGCGAAGGCTATGAATTTTTAATGCAGTTTCAAATTGTGACAAGAACTGGCAAAATTTCTGTTTTCAGTGGCAGGAAAAGGTGGACAGCATTTGATGATCAATTCGCACCTCACTTACCGCCATCAGAGTCTGATTTCTTCAGCCATGCAGCAGATAGTGGCACAATTAATCAAGACGACGCATTTGGTGGTCCGGAATCAGACACACTTTCCAGTGTGGCTTCTAGAAGAGATCCTTTTGCTCCTTTGGAAGAGAACTTGATTCAACAAGTTCTGTGTTTGTAGTTATTGAGTTTGTTTTTGTTGTAATGGTATAACAAAGACAGCAAGCTAGGTTTATTCAGCGGAATCACAAAAAGAAAGTTTTTTTTGCAGGAGTACGACCCCTTTGACATCAAACCGGCTGAGGATGTTTTTGAAGCTGCTAAAGCAAAAGCTGCAGCCGATTCTGCTGCTGCTGAAGCCCAGAGAGATCTCGCATTGTTTGGCGGAGCTGCCGAAACCCGAGAAAGTCCATTAAGTACACCAACTCAAGAAGGAGGAAGCCCAGCAAGTTCTCGGCCTCCAGGATTTGAAGACGAATTTCATGTTGATGTAAAAATCTTATTAAAAAAATAAGCCTAAAAGCGATTTTACACATTTCTCTTCTTCATATATATTAAATTAAATTCAGCGTAATTTTTCGTTTAAGGTAGAGGCAGAAAGTGCTGTATCATCTCCATTATACGATGAAGATGACGCTGAGCCATTGACCGATTTTCCTGAGAAATTTACAGGCGAAGGTTGGGAGTTGATGATTAGGTTTCCAATAAAAAAGAAATTAATGAGCGACCGATTTTGGAAACCATGTTTCGTCAAAATACAAGGATGCACACTTTACTTGTGTGATTCAAAGAAGGACCAAAAACCATTTCAGGAACTGCTCTTACAAGTAGAGTTTTGCTAATTGAGTCTTTATGTTTAGGAATATTTAGGTAAAAAACGGTAATTCGTGCTGCTTTTAGACAAGTTATTCTGTATCAGATACGACATTACAAGCTTACGACATATATGGAAAAATACATACCGTTAAACTGCAATATGTCGTATACAAAGAACGAGTTGGGATAAGACCAGGTTATACTGCGCTTGGAGTTTGTCAATTTTTTTAAAGCAATTTTGTGATTAATCTTTATAGCACTACTAAATAGACAGATGTGAAATATTTTACTTTTGCATTGCAATTAAATGTCACTAATGATTATAGCAAACGAAAAGTAAGTAACTTACTTTAATTTAGGGCAAATCTCACGTCTAGTGGAAGGTCATATTACTAAATATGGCTTACCTCTGGAGCACGCAGCTCAATGCACTGTTTTATTGAAATTCGGTAGCTTGAACGCCGTTGAACTGGCTTCTTTTGTAACAACGGTCGAAGATGTGCTATTTCGGTGTCCGGCAAGAAGAGAGGTCACGCCGGTGTATAAACAGGACGAAGTTCAGGTATATTTTGTAGTTTTTTTAGTTTATAAACCTGGTAAAAAACAATTTTTTAGATACATTGTTATGACGAGTATTCAGCTTATGTTGATAAAGACGGGATTGTTAGTGATCAAAAAGCTCGAGTCAGACTGTTCTGTTTGGCATTCTTAACTGGATCGCCTTACATAGAAATAGGACTGAACGACCGCAGACGGCAGGGAAAAGTAAGTCTCGGTTTGCAGTCGTCGTGGAATGGTATTGATCTTTGTCACAATAGCTGTCAGATACCATGCTTGAAGCTTATATTCAGGAAATCGTTCGTCGAAAAGATATTTTACCTATGTACACTGAAAAATGGATCCGTTTTGAAAATATCGAATTTCATAATACTGTCAATAAAGAACAGTTTGATCAGGAGCAAGTTATCAGTTTTCAACCTCCAGACGGATGCTTTTTCGAAGTAACAATAAAATAACATTGGTTTGATTAAAAAAAATGAATGAAAGTTTCCATCAGCATTTTTGAAGCAGTTTTTTTCACTGTGAAAATTTAATTGGAAATTAGAAAAAATTATTCTGGCGTAACTTAACTCTTGTAGTAGATATAAATAACACCAGTTCCCGAACAGCTGTATCATCCTAACGTTTTTGATTCAGGTTATGCGGTTCAGAATACGTCCCCCCAAAAACCGTGAAAAACCGCTGACGGTTAAAAGTATGATGAGGATGGCTGGTTCGAAAGTAAGCAAAATCAGTTTTAATTTTAGTATGGAAACAAAACAGCTAGCTTACCGATCTGCAATCTCGAAGTGATCGAGAACTTTTGAACTTTTCTGTATGCCTGCACTTTGCCTAAAATAGTGGAACAGTCTCAGCAAATTTATATTTTTTTATTAAGAATTTTTTTTTTGCTTTAGTAACAACAGTTTGTACTAATTTGCTTAACATAAAAGTGTATAGTACTGCTTATAAATTGAAGATTAATATTTGTATGTTATTAGTCATCAAATTTCTATGCATTGTTGAGTTACAGATTGAAATTCGAATAGAAGTTATGGCTGCTCCACAAATTCAAAAAACGAAAGGAGGAAGAGTGACCAGAAATCAGATACCATGCGAAGACATACAAATTCGCTTTCCAGTTCCTGAAGCTTGGATATATCTGTTTAGAGAAGAGCGTAATTGGGGAGTTGGTTCAGTACATGCAAAAGTTAGAAGACCTGGAAAAGTCAAGGTACTAGACACTTTTATATAATTCAGCAGTGCCCCATATAAAAAAAAAAATTTTTATGTTTTAATTTAATTTCATGAGTAAAATTTGAATTCAGAATTTGAAAGATCGTCTGATGGGTGTAGTGCAAAACATCGAGAATTCACTGATAGAAGTGGCTATTGGTGAAGCAAAATATGAGCACGTTTATCGTTCACTAGTTTGGAGAATACCGCGACTACCTGAACGGCACCATGAAGCTTACAAGCAACATTTACTGACTTGTCGTTTTGAACTTTCTTCGTTTGATTTGATGCCTGAGACCTTTATACCCGTTTGTGATGTTGACTTCACAATGCCTCTTGCCACTATTAGTAACACGGTGGTTCGCTCAGTCAGTGTTGAGCAACATGAAGACAGCGATCGAGTAGAAAAGTTCGTCAGATACGTCGCCAAATGCACTTATAAGGCATGTTGTGTTTTTCAAGCTGCTGAAAGTTTATAAACTTTTAAGGACAACTTTCTGATAAATATCAGTTTAGTAGACAATTTATAGAGCTTTTTTTAGGTTGAGATCGACTATGTACAATGCTCAACGCTAGATGTAGATGCAATTGTTGATCCCACAAATATAAATCCAGAGGCGTCGCAAGATGTTATTCCTGAACCACATAAACCTACGATGAACCCTAATGATGTGAAGAATGTTTATGCCGGGTAAATTTCCTTTAAACGTTTACTAAGCATTGAATAAAGTAACAGAATTTGTTAATTAGATAAAATTGCAGCTACCAAATTGAACTACCGGACGAAAATAAAGTTAATGAGAAAAAAGAAGAAGAATCGAGCAGCGATGAGGGGGAATCAGAGCGAAAAGCGCCAATGATTCAAATTGACATGAAAGGTTACGGTTATTGATTGAGCATTGTTGTAGTTTTACAATTTATGGAGAGCGAAAATAGAGGATGAAAGTGAGGAGAAAGACATTAGCTGTTCTGTAAACTGATATGTTTTTAATTTTACTTTTTTTTTTAAATGTATGAAAAATTTGTCGTTTTTTCAATAACAATGGTTGAATGGGTATGATTTGTTCAAAATAATATAAGTATATACTTTAACAAAATTTGTTATCTTATTTTTATTTATTTATTTAACTGGAACATGGTGTTGCACACAATATTGTTAATTTATTAAACTTGTTAATATGACTAATCAATTAGGAACAACCTGAAACCAAAAGTTTTTGCTGGAAAAGCTCGATATATATTTAAGTATTAAAAATTAAAAGGTTTATTTAGTTTTCATTGTTTAATTATAATTTTGTTTTGCCATTATGGTAGTATCAGACTCGTATTATCAGACTCGTACCAGCAACTTACTAAAACATTTGTTTTGACTTACGACGTATCATATAGATACATAGAAAAAAAGAGGAGTGAACATTTGGTAGCCCTGATTTTTTTTTTCTGTTTGACTTTAAAATTTGTCAGTGGCTAAATTAGTCAAAGACCATTTGTTAAAATTATAAGGCAATTTGTTATCTAAAAATCGATTCAAATTTTTTGCTTATCTACTTTACTTCGGTCTCTACTTGCTTAATCATTGTATCAAAATACGTATTTGTCTTGAAGTTTTTTTCTGCTGCTATCTAAGCGTCTCATCAATCTCTCAATAATAATCTACAATAAGCAATACGAGAGTTTAATGGACTTTCAATACGGTGCACGATTTATAATGAAAAAATTGTTTTTTAATTTGTTTTTATTTGTTTTTTCTTCAGGAACAGTTAGACATGACGATATTTATTGTTTTGAAAGCACAGTGTCAAATCGAGAATTTTGTACTTTCTAAGTTAGTGCACAACTGCTTTATTTTTGCTGTCTTTAAGTAGAAGGGGTGACGACATAAAGTAAGAAAAGTTATTTGAGAAAATTTAGCAAACATCTTCTCTAAACCTATTCTCGATTTCACCACTTTTGTATTTCGTTGTGTCAGTAAGCGTATTAGAAGTTTTTGGGCTGCTGAAATGCAATCTTAATTTCTTCTGTGATCTCATATAGTAATAAGATGACGCAAATACTGTATCTGATTCTGTGTACGTCACTTCGTTGTTTTTTGTAATTCAATGATTATTTATTAATTAATAACAGCTACAATTTTGCAGCATTCAATAAATTTGCAATAAACCACTTTTTTAAATTGAAGGTGCAGTCATGTAATTGAAAAAGTGCTGACACATTCTTCGAAGTTGTTACTTATCGACAACATAAAGATATTCTTTATAAAGTAGAGCAAATGCGTACCCAAAATGTTTTGAGAAAATATTGAAAAAAATTTTTAATTTTTGTCAAAGTTAGAAAAGAACAAGGAATAATTGGCAGAGCAACATTTTGCAAATTGTAGCACTTTTGATAAAGCAAAGCTGTTTCAAATACTGAGTTGTGGAAAGTGAAAAAGTATTGTTGAAATGAAGTTGATTGCTTGTAGCACTTGTCAGAGCGTTGCTACAAGTTCTTCTAATCATTCTTTACTTAATTTTTAATTGCCTTCAACTTTTGTATACACCTAACTTTGGATTCCAAATTAGTAATTTCATAGCTGACTAAAAATGTCACAATTTATTTTTTTATCTTACCTCTCCATTATTTTATAATATTTTTGTCATGTTCTCTTTTAAAAATATAAGGTTGTGAATAAAAATTTTGCAGCGGGGTAAATCTCGTAGCAGAACCGTTCGACCACAACTGTAAATCAGATTAAGTCTGAGGAACAAATTAAATTCGTTTTGATTTTCAAGCAATTTACAAAACATTTGTTCTGAAATAAAACATCGTTACCTAAACTTGAAGCTTAAAACAAAATGGTAAAGCGAGAAGTGCCTTGGATTTGGCTTAAAAGAGTTGAAAAACTGCGCAGGTGGAAG